CTCGTAAAAAAAAAGAATTGTGAAGGCTCAAAAACGATAAAAAAAAACTAGTTAAATTTTTTAGATTTGTTACAAATTTATTTTTTATAAAATGTCTAGATTAAGTGTTTGATATCCTAGTACTAACTTTTTGATGGCATTAACCTAGCTGTTTTCTTTTTTTTTTTGGGCCCGGAAACCAAGTACTTCATAAAATTGACATATGTACTGTAACAAGAATGATATAATAATGGCACTAGATAATGATCCAATGTTTTTTTTTATATTTAAAATTTTATTATTATTATAACATTGAATGTGATTCTTAATATGAGATTTAAAATTTTTTAATCTATTTTATTTTTTATATTTATCATTTTTTCTTCAATTAGTTTACCAAATTTATGAACTGAAATATAGTCTAATATTATAGAAAAATATTTCAGACAAATGATATCATATTTATCATAATTAAATAATTTATTTAATTGTTTTTAACATATACAAATCAGCTAAGAATTTTTATATTAATAATGGGAGGGAGTAGTTTTTTCAATATAAAGGACAGGAGAGCGTGTATATGCATGCTCTCCCATATGTTTGCAAATAAGTTGTGTTAAATTGATTTTTACTTAACTGCTTGCTTGGGATTAATGGGTGTGATGAATATGAAAGAAGATAAGGAATTACTAATTTGGAGTGTTGATATAGGAGTTAGGTTGAGCATCACGAACATTTTGGTTAGGAAGGCCAAGTATCGTGTGGGGTTTAAGCTAATACCAAAATAATTAATAAATTTTAAAAGATTGATTTTGTTATTAAAAAAATATAATCACCTTTATTCAAAATATATTCATTTGAAATATACTAGATAAAAATCCGAATTAGCAATTTTTTAAAACAATGATATGGAATAATTATACATTATTTTTACAAAATATTAAATTAAAAATCATATTAATTTAACTGGACTTTGAGTCTTTGGCTGTTTTGAGAGTGAAACTTTAGAGTACTTGTTCATAACTTGCTTTTTTGCCAAGTCAATGTGGTTTGGTTGTTTTTCTATGAGATTTCAACTGCATAATTTCAATAGTTTCATTTAATGGGCAAGAGATACATTTTTTCAGCTGGATAAAGATGGTAGACATGATCTAATTTAAAGAATTATAATTCTCATCAATACTCTCTAGAGTAAAAAGAATTCTGTACTGCATGAAGTTAAGTCTTAGCAACTGAAAGCCGTAATTAAGGAAGTTTTAGGAAATCTACAACTCATAAGGTTAGCCTTTTATTGTCTTTATAATGGACCTGTTCAACAACGCAGCTTTTTTGTAGATCATTTTGACATCAATTCTCAACAAATGTTGTTCCATTATTTTATCGAAAGAGTAGAAGAGGACTATAAGGTTTTCTGTTATGGCATCATATGTTTGAGAGGTTCTCTGGTTCATAAATTTTCTTGCTTGCACTTTAAGGCAGTTCATGACTTCTTCTATGCTCTTTGTTTTCATACGATGATTTATTGAATTTTGTCACATAGTAATTTTAAGCCACAGGAACCTCTTCTTGTCATTTGCGTGAAGACAAAGTTCATCAATTTGCATTTTTTCTATGTAGAATCTTCTTCCATTATTGCACAGGATATTTTGATGATGTTCAACTTCGTTCTAAATTATGATATTTGTTCTTCTAATAGTGATTTAATAAGGAATTTTTTTTTATTTTCCATTTCTAGTCATTCTCTGATGCAGTACCATAAATTCTGCTCTTTATTATTTATATATTGTATTTTTATTAAAAAATTAAAAAATAATTTACAATTTTCAACATAATTAAGAGACTAAAATTTTTAAAAAGTTTGCTATAATCATGAAGTTAAATTATTATATAAGTTATATAATTTTGGGTCCCTCGAGTTTACTCTCATTTTAGCTTTAATCTTTCAAGTTTCAAACAATAAGTTTTGGTTTCTTAAAAGACCAAATAGTTCAAGTTTTTATTGAATTATAAGGGACCAAAACTTATAATTTAAAATTTAAAAGATCAAAATTAAAATGAGAACAAATTGGAGAGACCCAAATTTTTATTTAACCCAAATTTTTATAAGATCAATCCTTATTAATAAAAGAAAATAATAGATATAAAGAGTTTGACTTCAGTTTTTCTCTATATGTTTAACTATATTGAAAAACAAGCTGAACCAAGCAAACAGCACATGATTTGATTTGCAAATTAGATTAGACTATTTAATCACTCTCAAATATGTTTCGTGGCATGTAAGATTAAAATTCTTTTAATAAACTACTTAATCACTCTCCCCCTGCACGCCCTCTCTCGTTATATATAAAATAATAACATTCCATACAAAATGAATTTTTTTCCTTGGTAAAAATACAAAATGATTGTTAATTTCAATTGTCTTCTATGTTCCATGGGAGATATTCAAATTTTCAAAAGAACCAGACTACATTAGCCTAGAGATATTTTTTCTTCTCTGAGGCCATTGATATTATTATACCCGCGCGGGAGTCAAAAAAAGTTTTTAAAAAGCATGTAAAAGAACAATATTTGTACATTGTTAATAGATGTTACATTTATATAATAATCTAATGATAATTTAAAAGAAAATAACAGGTTAATTCTGATTTTATTAAAGCAATAATAATAGTAGTAGGAATCCATATATTTTTATGTAATATAAAATTTATTTTTAAAACTTTATGCCATATATGAAGCTCGCGCTAGTTATATAACTAACAATGATCGTCAATAATGCAAGAACAAGAAATTACGTGTTAGTTTTTTCCTCTTGTCATGTGTACAGGCATGCTAGTTATTCATGCAATTTTTTTCCAGAAAATAAATATGACAAAAGTATTTTTTTTTTTGATATAACAACTAATTATTTTTTAAAAAGATATTCATATATCAAGTTTTCATATACTTCATTCCATTACTAACCGACAATCCTTGGCGTAATGCATGCCCTTTTTTAAACTCAATTAGGAAATTAGGAATAATATCCCATGACATATGGAACTAGCCATTGATAATTTGGATTTAAATTAGGTTAAGTCTCAATTGGGTCCTAAATAAAGTTCCATTTGGGGGAAAAAGCTCCAAGGGGATTTGTTTTTCTTAATGCAGAAGACTTCAACTTTCGAGTGGAAACTTTCATATAAAAGGTATCATCAATTAATATAGTCATCACTGGTCATGCATAGACATTTTAACATAGACTAAGTAATCTTTTTGGCCAAAAAGAATTATTGCCCATCCAGTATTAAGAGTTATTTATCTAATTTGATTAAATTACTGATAAAAAAATTAAAAAAAAATAAATTATTTAATTATAATGTGTGTGATCTAATCTTTCTAAACTAATTCTGTATAATATTATTAAATAATATATTATTTTATGAATAATAAAATAAATTAAAATATTTTATTTTGGACAAAAAATAACTACTTTCCCACTTCATGTATGCCTCGGCTTGCAAAATGGCCCTTCGGGACTCAACCAATTAATGGCATCATCAATGACGTAACAATATCCTCTTGCCAATTGGGGTTTGGAGGGCTTTCTTCTTTATTATATTAAGATTTGGTTTTAATTGGTAAGGGGAAAAAACATTTGGTTCCAATATTGTCTACTTTCACATATATAAAAAATGAAACTATATTTACTTAAAAAACTGAGTAATTTAACTGATGATTGTTATAATGGATGCATGTAGAAATTTGTATTCCTTGCTTGCAAAAAAATTACTATCTCTCAATTAAATATAGAAGCTGGATAATTAATTTATAAATCTTAAAGAAATTATTTATTTATAACAAATACATGTTAATTTTTCTAATTAGAGTACTCTTTTTAATAATTTGTATTTGATACTACTTTTCTTTAACATATGTAATTAATAAGGAGAGTTCAATAAAAAGTTATAAATTTAAGAGATAAAACAAATTAAAATCTTATATTTAAAATCAAAACAAATCCTTTCACTAATTTTTGTATTTAGGACAGGAGGTAGCATTATCTAATTTACAAGGATATGCATGTTATCACATCTTCCTTTTGCACCTTTATTTATAAAATAAAATAAGAAGCTGGACATGTATTTTTGTTTCTTTAATTTATATCAAATTTTACTTTGACTTCTTAATTTTTATAAATTATATTTTTTAATGAAAATAAACTACCTTTTTTAGTTTTCTAATTTTAACATAAATATTTTTATTAACAAAATTTTTTTTATTAAAAATATGTTTTATAAAATTAGTATGCGAAACTAAAATATCATATAAGTCAAAATAGTGGATGTGCTCTTTTACCTGGAAAAAAAAAAAAACAAATTCCATGTGGCATAAAGTATCCTCCATCATTATTATATAGACTGTTTTCTTTGAAGTATTGATGATAAAAAAATAAACTTTCTAAATTAAGTTTAGTCTAAACCTAAATTCTAAACATCGAATCAATTAACATATTGTTTAAGGAACTAGAATCTATAGTTATACTTTTGATTACTAGATTCTAGCCCTTGAACATGGAGTACGCTATTGTTTCATCTAACGACACGGTGCTTGCATATAATATAGAACATTCCCATTTTCACAATTTAAATTGCTCCCATTTTCCTTGAATTAAATTTAAATAATTATAATAAAATATAATAAAAATTAAATAATTTAAATTAAATTCAAACAATCCAAAAGAAATAAACATCTTGAGAATCTGCATGTGAATGGCTTAGTTTCTGATACAAATCTCAGTATTTTAATAGGGAGCGAATTGGACTGTCATTTTCCTTGACACCTCTAATGGGCCGGGCCAAGGCCCATATGTAGTGGATCTCGATAAATTCTCAGCTTCTGGTCCATGCAAATTTAACAAGAGGCCTAAAAATCATCACCCTCGAGGAGGGTGCCCAACCAGCAACGGTCATATGCCCTGAAAGTTAAACGACGGCGTTTTTGTCTCTACCGGAAAAATATGAACACTTGGATCATTGATTATTTTCCCTCCCATTCCGCTTCTCCATCAACTCCAAAACCTAGCTAGTCGAGCTTTGTGTCCAGTTCTGCAAGTGCAAATTCAGGTAATGCTTCTCCTTTTCCTTCTAGCGAAGGGTTATAGAACTGCAGTGTTTTCGCAAACGATGTGGAATTTTCGCAATGCATGATGATATTCTTCAATTCTTTCATGTCCTCCAGTTCTTCCTGTACTGTGTTGCTGTTGGAGGATGGATCAGAAAACACTGGCTGAAGGGGAACAAAACGTTTTGAATTTTAAGTGTGCGAAGATCCTTCATGGAGCTGATAAATCTATCGCTTGTCAGACTCCAGAGAAGACTAGTGAGCCCTTACCCGCCAAACTCAAGGAAGGATCCACACAGCTTCCAGAAACGTGAGTGCCTAATTGCTTGTGAATTGCGTCCCTTGAAAAATTTTCCTGTAGGAAGTAATTATTTGTTTGCTCTTTTTTTCCTCATCTGTGATTGAACTGTATTTTGAGATTTTCTTTTGTTTTTTAAATTTCCGAGATTTCAGATACAAGGCTTTAGAAGATTTGTTTGACTCTATGAGTTGTTCACTGAGGTTGCTTCGTCTGTGCAAAAAATCTACCACGTTTCAAAACATCTGTTCCCAGGTTGAAGTTCTTGCTAAAAGGTAATTGAAACTTTTGCTGCTGTTTTAGTTATATTTATCTTCTGCTTTGTTTTATTTTCCGATGTCCCTGAGATAACTAATGGATCCCATTGAAGGGCTTGGGTTTTTATCCTTTCCTGAATTTCTCTTTCAAATTCAGTTCTCATTTCTCACTATTGTTGGTTGGCATGTTGTGCTGCTGCTATTTTCTCTTCGCAGAAAATTCTTGCACAGGGATCTTGGGCAGATAAAGTATATACTTCCTGAAGCCATATGCATAGAGAAGGTATTAGTACATGATAATAGAAACTTGTGTATGAAGCCTGATTTGAAGATCACCTTGGTACATGAGGTTGTGCTAGGACAATCCAGTGAAAATACTTATGTGGCTCTCCGGCAACTTTTTGGTTTTAGGCTGCTTGAGTTCTTCAATACGCATCCAGAGGTATCATTCCAATATTGTGTTGTTATGGCTTATTGTATTTGTTCTGTCTAAAGCTGTTATGACAACCATAGCAATATTTTGGGATCGTCCTATAGGTCAAACTTATCTGATTTGCTTTTATGTAAATATCAATTTAAATTCTCGTGGTCATGTGGCTGGATTGGTAAACAAAATAGCATGGAATGAGAAGTGTCCCTTATGTCCTTAGATCAAAAAGGTAATAAAAATAAATAATTACTGTGGAGTGACGATAATAGGAGCGTAATAGATATTATGTACTTCTCTGATCCACAATATAATTCCTTTTTCCTTAGTTTGGCTTGGTCCAAAATATAAATCCAGTTTGATAATATTTAGAGCATTTAATATTTGTCTCCCTATTTTCCCCTTCTATACAATTAAACTTTATAAGTAATTAGTCATAATAATTAATCTAGCATTGACTTTTGTCAATGGCATATTTGGATATCTATTCTTTACATATTTAATATTATAACTACCATTTAACTAATATTTTTTGGTCCATGTGAGGTGGTTAAACCAGTTATATTGTGGCCCAGAGGAGTATCTTGACTTTTTTGTGAAAGGAAAAGAGAATTTCTTTCCTACAATTCACCAAGTGGGGTGTAACTTTTAAATGTAAACCTAGAGAGTTCTGATCCTTTTGTAATAACTCTGTTTGTATGTAGATTACCTTTCTCTATACTGTGATTTTTGAGTGTGGTTTCGATCTGGTAATTTTTTTTTTTTAATTCAAAACAAGTTAATAAATCTTTTTCAGAAGTTTTCTTTACTTTTGTGGTCCAGAATACTGATATCCCAGAAGCTACTCTACCAGAACCTTTTCAACAAAGAAATAGCTTGATTTGTGAGGACTTGCCTGTAGATCCTTCTATACAATCAACTTCCGATCAAAATCAACATCTATTACAGGAATGTCAGCCATATCCTTTAAAAAGGCATTTCTCAAAGAATAATGCTGTGTCAGAGACAGAAAATAACGTTGTAACAAGTCCAATTGGTCAGTCACATCATTCATCTGATTGCTTGGAAAATGAAGGAGGTGAAGGTGGCAGTGAATGGCAGAAAAAATGTACTACTTCATATTTGAAATCTGATAGCACAAATGATCAGGACATGGAAAAAGGACAGCAGAATGAATCATGTTCTATGGGATTCCAATGTAGTGTTGTTAATACACCAGCACGTCTGATTTGCTCTCCACAGTCTGTTAGTTGTGGTAGTTATGAAAGCTCTCATCTCAAGATTGCCTCATCCACAGATATGTTAACGACAGAGACACCTGCTCAGTCAACACCTAGAAGATTGGCACCCAGTTCTGATGTTAAACTTAAGATTGTGACCACCCAGAATTCAATCTCATGCAATAAGCATGTAAAAAGAGTTCTTTTTTCACATGAAGGTGATTATGATGGTGACAAGTTAGAATCAAGTAGAGATGCTTGTGATAACATCCCTGAAGATGGTCGAGCATGCACTGAGGATTTTAGTGTTTCTAATTTTGTTGTTTTATCTCAGAAGGTATGCCTTCTGACCCTGCTCCTATTTTTTAATTCTTCAAGGCATGGTATACTTCCGGAAATCATTCATAATTCCATGCAATGATTGCTTTTTTTATATACAACAGAAAAGTTGCAAATAAAACTTTTCTATTTAAAATTTTGTAGACTTTACTTTTTAGGTATTATTGAGCGAGCATGTATTCCTTTTCCGTGTTGTTCATAGATGCTGGTATTTTGTTCATTTTGTATCTTGATCTTGGTTCATCTCAAACCTAGTGTACCTTGGTGGGATTAAAAGAATAAAATAAAGTTCAGTGTTGGTTGAGTTGATCATCTTCGTGTTATAAGAAGAGTGAGGGACATACTAAACAATGTTAGCCCATATTCTATTTTTCTCTGCTTAAAAAAAAGATAGAGAATGGGGCAGTTGTATAATTCTAAAAGATACATTCATCTCCGTTATATTCACTTTTGGCATGGATACATTTTGAAATTTGAATAGTGTAGTAAGAGTTTATAATTAACTTAAATGTGTTGTCATAGAGGCCATGATTTGATCAAGTTATTGCTCTTGCCCCAAATTATTTTTCCTTTTTGTTTTCTGGTATTTGTTACATGCTTTTTATGAGTTATTTGTGGTTTTATATTGTTGTCATTATCTCATATTTGGTTGCTCAGTACAGGTGGCTGAGTTCATTGATTGTTCTCATGAAAATACAAATCAAACACATGGTGGTGCAGCAACTGGGCAGCAGATGCCTTCATCGTTGCTTGGCCTTGTTGATGTGATATATTCTATATTTGGTTCCATCAAATGCTCTCCAATCACAAAAGAGGAGCTCCTGCACAAGATAATAATGAACAGTTTAGATTTTGTTGAGATGAGTATGTATTGATTGTGACTATAACTCAAAGTAGTTTTTAATTGCTTGTTAGTGTCTTAAAAATGACGAGTGACTAACTACTTAGTCTTCTCTACAGGAGAAGCTGAAGAGCAGATTAATTTTCTTGAGAAGGTAGTGCCGGATTGGATCTACAAGAAGTTGGGCCCTAGTGGAGATACTATGTACTGGTGAGTCTCTCAATTTGCATCTACCAACCATGCAAACTGAGTGGATTAGATCATTATCGTCAGACGCCAAAGTAAAATATTTCTCAGCTTTGTGGATTTGTATATTTGAAATTCGGTTTTGATTAAATAAAACTAAATTTTTGTGCGTTGGTTTTGTTAATTCTAATGCATACAAATTATTATGCTTATATGAGTCTGTGGCCAGTATATCGCCCACAAGGTAGTGGTGCCCTACTAGTCACAAGACTAGGGACGGGCATATCATTAGATTTGCATGTCTTGTACAAACTACAGGTGGCGATGTCTTTTCTTGGCATTTGTTCCAACAAACTACAGGTGGCGATGTCTTTTCTTGGTAAAAACATCCCAACTCAGCGTTCTTTTTGTTCCATTTTGAGTTGTAATGTGCTGAAAATGAAGCCATCAATAAAAAATGAAAGGGAAATGAAAATCAAGCTACTATGGGATGTCATGCCACACTAGAAATTTGGTTTTCACTTTTAACGCTGCTATTAGTGTTTCTTTTGAATTTTGGATACTATGTCTCTGGAATGTCCTGACTCTGATGATTTTGCAGTATTAAGGAAGTGCCAGATTTGGAGTCTGTTCGATCAAGGCTATCTAGCAATGGCATTAAGGCTTGAATGATACTCAAGAGGGTTCAACAACCTGGGATTAGTGTGCCTTCATCGTTGCTTGGCCTTGTCGATGTGATATATTCTGTATTTTGTTATGTCAAATGCCCTCCAATCACAAAAGAACAGTTCCTGAACAAGTAAGGAACGGTTTAAATTCTGCTGAGATTATTATAATTTTGGATAGATGACTCATCCCCATGCTCATGTCCAAATTGCACTCTCCTATTTTCTCCTGTCAACGGTATAAGTCATCTCTAAAAGAATGACTTGGTCCAAGCCATTAGTTATTTGAAAAGTAGCTAATACTTATTTGTCATCTCTATAAGTCATCTCTAAAAGAATGAGTCAAATTGGTCCCTACAATTAATAACATCTATATTTTGTTGTCTCCTCTGCAATCTTATTTAAATATGGGTAGAGTTGAAATTTCTTTTTAATTTGAGATAAATTTAATAAGTTAGCTACTATGTTTTGATCTTGACGAATTAGTTAAAATGACTTGTGTGGGCACATCTGTTGTTTTTTTTTTCCCGGTCAACAATTACACTCTCCTATGCCATAAAATATGCCATGCTATGTATTTTTATATATCAGCTTCATTTTGCAAAATAATAAAAGATAAATTGTAATTTCTTTTATTTTAAGTAAAACATATTTTTATTTGTCAATAGATACGTTATAACAAGCAAAACATTGTTAATATTAAAAATATATTTTTAATGAATAAATTAGATTAATTGCTATTAAATAAACATAAGTAATACCGGAATAAGAGTATAAGAAGTACATACAAAAGTTATGCTTTTAATATTGTCCTTATGCTGTTTTCTTTTAGAGGTGACTATTCGGTTTTTTGATTTGGTTTTTAATAATAACCAAATTAACCGAATAACTGAATATAGTGAATTTTAAACACTAAATCGAGACTGATTAATTAAACTAACCGAAACCAAATTTATTGAAATATATAAATATATAAATATAAATATTAGAAAGTGATTTTAAATTAAAAATCATAATAAAACACAATTACAACAATTAATTAATAAATATTTTATCATTCAATGTGATTTATTATATTAATATTTATTATAACCATATTTATTGAATATAAATATATTTAAAGAGTTCACATATACCCACAAGTATATTTATTTTAATAATATTTATTAATAAAATACATAATATATTTATTTCAGTTTTTTGGTTATAATTGATTTTTTTTCCTATTAATTGAACCGAATATCGAAGCCAAATTGTTAAAAAATAAAAACAGACAACCAAAATAATCGAACCAAAAAACCAAAATTAAATTCGGTTCCATTTGGTTTTCGGTTACGGTTTGGTTTTGCTCATCTTTTTTTTAAAAAAACATTTTAACTAAAATTTTAATGATAATAAACCTATATATGAATATTTATTAAATTAATTTCTGTTTAAAAAAGAACTGTTATATAGGCAATACATGATTGCTTTATTGGAATGTTGGTTAAAAAAAAAATCAATTCATCCTCTTATAATATATTTATTTATTTTAATTAATACTTTTAAAAGCCTATAAATCTCTTCCAATAACAATCATTATGAGCACTTTAAAAAAGCTTTCTATAGCTCCCCTAAAAGTTTTGCTTTTGTGCCTCATTGAAAGGTGAAACGAAAAGCCCCCACTCATAATCACATCGTTGATTAGTTGGGAGAGATGATGATGGCACCACATTCATGCACAATGAAACAAGCGTAAAACTAAAATGTTACTCAGTTTGCTTCTGTTTTAGGTCCACAAAAACAGAGTTGAACACAATAATTTGCTCTCAACTATATTTACCGACTAAAAAAGATCAGTTTCATATTGACCTTTCATTTAGCGTTGGCTAGCTCATCAGGCTGTCAGCCAACTCACTCAAATTTAATCGTTTTCAGTACTAACTCTAGTTATTAATATAAAAACCAGATAATTAATTTATAAATATTAAAAAAAATTAGTTCCGTTATTTGTAACAAATCTGAACACTAGTTTGCATGTCCTTATCTTAAGTGCCTATAAGTATTTTCATGTAAGTTGAGATAGCTTCTCTCATATACTTATATATTATTTAATAAATTATGATTGAAAAGCTATTTTTAATATCGTGATTCCAAACAATCCCTGAATTGGTTTTTATAAATTATCATCTTTAATCATGTGTATTTAAACTACTTTTGAATTGAGAGCTTTTTATTATGTACAATTAATAAAAATAATTTAGACAAAAACTATACATTTTTAAGGTAAAATAAATTGAAGTTTTGCATTTAAAATCAAAGTGAAGCTCTGGTCTGGATTCTATATTTTAGTACTTAGCTGCTAACAATTTTAACCGTTAGGGTTGGACCAGGTGGCTGATGGCCTAATACAAAAAATATCCAAGTCTGCTCCCACGGTCTTCCATTGTCCAGGTCTTCTCCCACGGTCTTCCATTGTCACATCAAATGGCTACTCCATCTGCCAGTCTTTCTTCCCCGTGTTTCGACAAATCCTGTATATTATTACACGTGGCCTCATGAGATAGGAACTAATTGCACTATTATTGATATTATTGATCCATTCTTAATATAAGACCTATTTAACTAATTTGATTAGATTAAGAAAGTTAGGTAAGTTAGTTAATTATAAGAAATGTGACACGTTTTTTCTAAAATACCATAATCATCTTTCTTAATACCTCATATTTCTCTTCTACTTGATTATGGTTGAAGGAATATCTATAAGAATAATTTAGAGAAAATTGATAAATATGAGAAATAAGTTTTATATTTAAGACTAAAACCAATTTAATAATTGTATCCTGAGGAGTAGTGTTCTTAGATTTTTCCCTTTAACTTGAAAAAGGCAATCTCTTCTTATAGCCAATGAAATCTTATCTCGATCGTTCTCTCATATTTCATTCTACTTTCTACTTTCTACTTTCTACTTTCTACTTTCTACAAAGCCATTAACTAAACGAAAGGAATATATATATATATATATATATATATATATATTTTATAGCTTAGCTTCAATTGGAGTTCTGTTCTTTTTCATAATTACATCAAAGTGCTATTTGATCACTTAGTCTTCCGATCCTATTCCTTTGATATCTCTTTTTGCTCACTTCTTTCTCGGGTTCTTGCTGATTACTTACAGATGGCTCAGTTGCGAGCTGAATCATCTTCTTGTGTCACTTATAGATGGACTTATGATGTGTTCCTTAGCTTTCGAGGCGAGGATACTCGCTTGAATTTCGTCAGCCATCTCTACGACTCTCTGCATCGAAGTGGAATCCATGCCTTCATCGATGATGAATCCCTGCAGGCTGGGGAAGAGATCAAAGCGTCTCTTTTGAAAGCCATACGAGAATCCAGAATATCGATAATAGTTTTTTCTGAGAACTACGCTTCATCAACGTTCTGTTTGGATGAACTTGCTGAGATTGTAGAGTGCTTCAAAGGAGAAGGTCGATTGGTGTATCCGGTGTTCTATTACGTGGATCCTTCAGAGGTGAGATATCAGAGAGGTAGCTATGGAGAATCATTGCTTTATCTGCAGAAAAGATTGGAGACGGAGGAGTATAAGCTACAAAAGTGGAGGTTGGCTTTGTCTCAAGCAGCTAATTTGTCCGGATGGCATCTCAAGCCTGGGTATGCACGTCCTTGTCCTCTTCTTGCTTTTCATGTTATATTTTTATTATTCTAATATTAGTTTTTATATTTTATTTTTAACGAATCAGTGCTCTCTTTTGTTAAAGACCAATACAACGATTACCCTAAAAATTGACTTTTAATAAAAAAAATCAGCAATTTCCTCTTTTCTTCCAATTTATAAGAAACTTTTAATATATTTTATTATATTTATAAAAAATATTAAATTTCATTAAATTTTCTTTAAAATTTAATAAATTTTCAACTGTACTTTTATTTAAAAAATAAAAAACGCCATCGTCATTTGTTCTTAAAAGGGGGAAATAAGTAGCCCACGTCAGCACCCAGAAAAAATGAATTATTCCGAAGGAAGGTGAGTCTAATACGTATCACATATCTCAAATTTTAATATCCCCTGGACCTCTAAATCCACTTGTTATTTTTTCATATTAAAATTAGAAAGAATAATTTATTATTTAAGAATATCTCATATATCATCACATGAGTTAAAATTTTAAAAATAACATATTCTAATTTAGAATTTATTAATAAAAATTTAATAAATTATATTGTTTATAATTTTTAGTACTCGCAAAAATAATAAATTATAAACATAATCTTAAGTTGCTATTAAAATAATTTCTATTACATAGGGGCACATGGGAATAATAAATTTTGGAACAAGATGTCTGGTTTAACTTTTTAATATATACGGGGGTAACAAATTAGAAAAATATAATCAACAAGTTATATAAATCATACTTTGCACGGAGTAAATTTTTTTTTTCTCAATAAAACAAACTGTTATTTATATTTTCAATATATACATGATTAAGAAATTTAAAATAAAATGAGTTGTTATTCATACTCTTTATATGCAGTTGGTAGTAAATTGTAAATTAGAGTATCTTGCTGTTTACATTTTAATTTATGTGAGGATATAAAGATGAAATCCATATCCAAGCGACACCTCACATTTATATTTTAGACAAAAGTATGTCTTTAGTCATTTAATTTCACATAACTACATAAGGTTTCTTTCGCTTTTATCTTTTAGTTTTATTATAAGGTTTTTTTTTTTGTTCTTTCATCCTAATGTTGCTAATATAAAAAATGCTAATATTAAAATTTAAAATATTGATGAAGTATTTTTGAATATTGATATACTAAGTTTAATTTTCAAAAGAATAATATGCAGGTTTAGTGGATTAAAAACAATACTTTATAAAATAAAAAAATCAAATCAAGATTTCATATAACATTAAAGGGTTAATTAAAAGTGCACTTCTGCCTATATTTTATTTCACTCGGTAACATGGGATATCTCTGCTTATGGTTTGAGTGCGTTGGTTTGGCAACACTTAAAAATTACATAATACTACCTCCGGTCTTATTTATAAGATATCATTTGTAGACTACAAATGAGGTCTTATAATTAGGACCGGAGGTAGCACTTTCTATCCCTAATATACAAGTTAGTTAAAAAAATTTAATTTGATCCTAAATATAAGATCCCAATTCACTTTATCCTAGATAATTATCCTTTTTGCTCCTAAATAATCCTTGTCCTAATTGCATATGTTAAAGAGTTTTCATCAAGAGTTACTTCTAATACATATAATTAACAGGGATATTTTAGAGAAAAAAATAACCATATATTACAAATAATAAACTTAATTAATGTTATTAATATTCATAAATTAGTCCTGTAACTTTTATATTAATAACCAGAAATAGTATGTCCAAACAAGCATTGAACAAATGATAATTTTTGTCATGGGCAGGATGGCAAAAGAGCAAGAATATATAAGAAGGATCACTTGTGAAGTCTCTACAAAGATCAACCGCACACCATTACATGTCACCAATTATCCAGTTGGACTTGTGCCTCGGGTCCAACAAGTGATGTCACTTCTAGATCTTTGGTCCAATAAAGAAGTCAACATGGTTGGAATTTGTGGCATTGGTGGATTAGGTAAATCAACAATTGCAAGGGCTGTGTATAACTCAATCGCTGATCATTTTGATGGTTTATGTTTTCTTTCTAATGTTAGAGAAACCTCTAACAAGCATGGCTTGTCGTATCTTCAAGAGATATTGCTTTGCAAATTAGTCATGGAGAAAGATCTTAAATTGGGAGATTCCTATGAAGGAATTTCTGTTATAGCACATAGGCTTCGTGGAAGGAAGATCCTTTTGGTTATTGATGATGTTGACAAATTAGAGCAATTACAGGCTCTAGCTGGAAGATGTGATTGGTTTGGTTCTGGAAGTAGAATCATAATTACAACTAGAAATAAGCATTTGTTAGCATGTCATGGGATTAAAAGAATTTATGACGTCAAGGAATTAAATGATGAAGAAGCTCTTCAAGTGTTGAGTTGGAATGCCCTAAAAAAGGAAAATGCAGATTCTAGTTACCTTGATATTTCAAATCATGTAATACTTTATTCATGTGGCCTTCCATTGGCCTTGGAAGTAATTGGCTCCAATTTATGTGGCAAAAGGATTGATGAATGGGAATTTGCATTTGATAAATACCGAAGAATACCAAACAAACAAGTTTTTGAAGTCTTGAAATTAAGCTTTGACGCTTTAGAGGATAGAGAGAAGGAGATGTTCCTTGACTTGGCATGCTTTTTCAAAGGTGAAAAATTAGATGTCATAAAAACATTGCTTAGTTTCCGAGGAGTTCATCCTGAGTATATTATTGGAGCACTTATGGATAAATCCCTTGTGAAGATTGAAGAAAATTGTGTGACTATGCATGACATGATAGAAGAGATGGGCAAAGAAATTGTTAGGCAAAAGTCACCAAAAGAGCCCGGAAAACGAGATAGATTGTGGTTCTATGATGACATTCTCCATGTTTTACAAGAAAACACTGTAAGATTGTTTTATATGATGTTTTTTTTTAAACCTTTCCTTATATGAGTTGTATAAATCGTATAATGACATTTATTATGTTTGCTCTTTATTTTTAAAGGGATCAGATGAGATTGAAGCTATAATTCTAGACTTACCTGAAGATAAAGAAGTTCAATGGAGTGGAAAGGCATTTAAGCACATGAAAAACCTCAAAATGCTTGTGATTAAAAATGCAAGCTTTTCTAGAAGTCCTGAATGCCTCCCAAACACCTTAAGTGTATTGGAATGGAAGGGGTATCCTTCTAAATGTTTGCCATCTAATTTTCATCCAATAAGGCTCATCCGTCTTGACTTGTCCAATAGTTCTATTGAATTACTCCAACCACTTAATAAGGTATGTATATAATATATTGGGACGAGCTTTCTTTCCTTCCTTCTTTCTTTGTTTTTTTTGGTTTCTTTTTGAGTTTAAGAATAAATTTGTCTTTATTTTGCAGAAATTTGAGAGTCTAAGTTGCTTGAATTTTAGACATTGCAAGTTGTTAAGACAAATACCAAATTTGTCAGGAGTTTCCAATTTGATGGAATTGTGGCTCGATAATTGTACAAACTTAACTGAAATCCACGATTCAGTTGGATTTTTGGATAAGCTTAGAGAATTTAGTGCCATGCGATGCAAAAACTTGAGGATCTTACCAACTGGTATTAATTTGGCATCTCTTGAACATCTCAACCTTTATGGGTGTTTAAGTCTTCGAAGATTCCCAGAAATATTAGATGAAATGAGGAAAATAAGAACAATTGATTTGGATAAAACAGCCATAGAAGAATTGCCATCTTCTATTTGCAATCTGATTGGGCTTGAAAGCTTAAACATGGATGAGTGTCATAACCTTAAACAGCTGCCAGTTGTCATTTGTATGATGCCACACCTGTGGAAAATAACAGCAAACTTTTGTGAAGAGTTGAGACATTTTAAGATGCGTGAAAGTGAAAGAGAAGTACGCTTACAATGCTCAGCCATGTCTATGAAATTGGAACATGTTTGCTTCTCAAATTGCAATTTATCAAATGGTTCTCTTGACTTTTGTCTCTCTTACTTCCCCAATTTGATACAGTTAGATCTAAGTTATAATAACTTCACAACCCTTCCTGCATCCATCAAAGAATGTCACTGTTTGAAATATCTTTCCTTGGATAATTGCAATATGCTTCAACATATTGAAGGGATGCCGCAAAAGCTAGAAAAATTCAGTGCCTTGCATTGCACATTGTTGAGTGAGCCGTCAAGAAGCATGTTATTGAATCAGGTCTCTATTTCTTTTCTTTTTTTTTCCTATTTATAAATGATCAATTTTTAATGATTGTTAATCCTTTCAGGAAATTCACCAATATCCAGGGAAAAGAAACTTCATTTTGCCAGGAAAAAATATCCCAGAATGGCTTGACAAATATAGTTGTGGAGATTCACTGTCTTTTTGGGTTCGTAATGAGTTGCCAAATATTTATATGTGGATCCTTGTAAAAGACGACCAAGTTTCTCTGTGTGACTGTAAATTCTCTGTACGAGTCAATGACATTGTACAAGAAATTTCTTCCGGATGGTTTTCACTTTCAACAATGAAGAGATATCACATATATCTTAGCGACTTGCAAAGTATAGTTCGAAAGCTTCAACTCTCCCTCATGGATAAATGGAATCATGTCAACATTTCCATTGAGAACAGAACACAAGAAGTAAGAAGCAAAAGGGAAGTTTATTTTGCAGTTCACGTGTACAAGCAAGGAAATAATGTTGAGAACATCGAGTTCATGAACCCTAAAGCGTGCATCAATTATTATCCATGGAAGCTAATTCAGCAACCAGAAGATTTGGAACAATTGAAAGATGATGTGAATCAAGACTCAAAATCAACTAATTATGCAGAATTAGCTCATAACAGCACAACTTATCAAGGTATCTATTGTCCTTTTTCTTTGTGCACTTCTATTGATATTCTATCTTTTTATATATGAGCTACTATGCATGTTGGCTTTGCATTTAACTCATATAATTTGGCTTTATCATGGTCAGTGTTTTTTTGTATGATGTCCCATACAGTTTAATACAAGATTTACCTGTTATGATGATATAAGAAATATCAAACTCCTCCCCTGGTTGTTGGCAAACCTATAGATGATGGTTATAATTTGCATATATCTTGTGCGTGAAATATTTTCATTGTGGCAGATATTAGCCCAAACTTTTGCGGCATCTCCAAATTAAGTGAGAGGAAGGACGGGCGAGATAGCTTGATCCGAAGTAAGCATAATGCCATCCTAAGGAAAATTAGGAGATGGAAGGAAGATCACTCCATGATTTTGAAGTTAAAAGATCTAACTAATATGGTTGTGGCGGCTAACCAATTGATTGAATCGTTGGAGAATATACTACATTTGAACATAGAAGAGCAAGGGTACAGTTTTGTGCTGATGGATCTCAAAATTCTAGCAGATAAGGCACGACTTAAGGATGAGTTCAAGCAATTCCTAGCTCAAAATAGGCATCCTTTTGATCATAAATCTACCCCCTTCCAGTCCAGTGAATTAAAGGACACCACTGGTGAAGGTAGTTTCAGCAAAGCATCAGAAAAGCACATTTTGGATTTAGTCCGTCCAGAACTGCTCCAACATATTAAATGTATTGCAAGCTTAATGTTTGTGTTAGACTATAGCCAAGAATGTTACAATGCCTACACAAATGTTCGAAGACACGCCTTAAATGAGTGTCTCCTTCATCTTGAAAGGGAAAGATTAAGCATTGAAAATGTTTCAAAAAGGGAATGGGATAGTTTGAACTCCAAAATCAAAGGATGGATTTATCAAGTGAAAATATTTGTCAGGTTGTATATTACAAGTGAGAAGTGGCTTAGTGAGCAGATTTTTGGAGACAATGAGGCCAGTTTGATTTGTTTTGTTGGTGCATCAAAGGCTTTAATATTTTGGTTTTTAGAATTTTGTGAAGCTATATCTGTTGGCCCTCACAATCCTGAGAGAATATTTCGTTTTCTTGACATGTACCAAGTTTTGGCAGATCTTATACCAGACCTAGATGCCTTGTATTCAGGTGAGGTTGGTTCTTCAGTTAGAATCAAGTGTGAAGTGGTTCTAAACAGATTGGGCGCTTGTGTGGGGTCAATATTTCTTGAATTTAAAAATGTTATTGCATCAAATCCATCTCAATCTCCTTTCCCAGGTGGTGGGATTCATCCCTTAACCTATTATGTCATGAGCTATATTAGTTATCTCTTGGACTACAATAACACTCTTAATATACTGAATGGTGAAGAGGAATTAGAGTATGATATTTCACTGTACCACTCAATGAGCCATGACACATCACAAGATAGTGACATCCTGGGATCTTCCTATAGTAGTGTTTCCTCAGTCACAGTCCATTTTCGATCAGTCACTTCAATCTTGGAATTGAAGCTTGAGAACAAGTCCAAGTTATATAAGGAAGCTGCTTGCCAACACCTATTCTTAATGAACAATATGCATTATATGGCTCAAAGGGTTCAAGAATCTCAATTGAAGCATATTTTTGGAGATGAATGGATACGAAAGCACGTCTACAAGTACCAACAACATGCATGGAACTACGAGCAAGCTAGTTGGAGCTCGGTTCTCTCTTTGCTTAAGGATGAGAGAATTCAATTATCTATGTCGCGCAATCTTCTCAAGACAAGATTGCAGAACTTCTACGTTGCCTTTAAAGATATTTACAGGATCCAAACTGCTTGGGTGATCCCAGATCATTTACTGCGCGAGGGCATGCAAATCTCTATATCCCAAAAGCTAGTTCATGCTTATCAGGCATTCTTAAGGAAGTATTATAATTACATAGGTGACAAGCACATTAAATATAATGTTTGTGATATTGAAACTTCCATTTTGGGTTTCTTTGGGGGATCCCATAAGTCGTGGCCACATTCCAAAAGTTTTGCCTGCTGACCCTGCTTCTATTTGAATTCTTCTAGGCATGGTATACTTCTAAAAATCATTCTTAATTCCATGTTAATGCTGGCTTTTTAATATGCAACATAAACTTGGGAAATAAAACCTTTTTTGGTTTTAAGGTTGTAGACTTGACTTTATAGGTATTCTTGAACAAGTGTAATCCTCTTTGTTGTTGTTTATTTTGGATCTTGATCTCGGTTCATCTTAAACCCAATCTGCGACCAATCTATGACCTTAATTGTTCGTTGACTGTAAAGTTGTGCTCGATTTCATCGTCTTTGGATTATAACAAGAGTGAGGCTCGCCGAGGATACAATTTGTCATACCTGCCTCCCTTTTCGTTTGATTTAATTTTGTCATTTTACTTTATAAACAATAAGTTTTATGGAAAATAATTAATATTTTAGAAGAAATAACTAATTTTTACCAAATTCCTTATTTAATGCAAAGCTATTATTAGGTGCTTATACATAATAAAGAGGGGAGGGAGTAAAAGATAAATGGTAACAACATATTAGAAGGGAAAAATTGGAGATGAAGTCCTGGTTAAGAAATTAATTGACAAATGATCTTTAATGACTTTGCACAACTTATAGCTTTTCTTGTGAGTAATTATCTTTGTTTGTGAGACATTTTCCCTTTATGCAACTGATTTTTTTTTTTGTGTGTAATCCATTTTCTTTTTATGCAAATTAATTCTAATGTTTTGTTTAAACTATTTTCTTTTTAAACTTCTCTTGTATGCAACTTATTTTCCTCATACAATCCATCATAAGGACAATTTACTAATAAATTTGAGAGATTTATCCCTAGTTTTCCCTAAAATATGTAAATAAATTAGAGGGAGAATCCGGATTAAATCTGATTAAAATATCAAAATCCAAATTAAGGTCTAAACTTTTAACAAATCTCTAAGCCTTATTGGGAATCTTTAAATATTATTAAAAGACTAAAATGTCCTTTTATAATTTAAAATAATATTATTTTGAAAAAAATTAAGCCATGAAAACTTGACATTATATAGTATTTATTTATTCCAAATGTTTTACATAAAAAAATTTGGAAATACTAGGAGCAAAAAATTGACAATGCATAATATGATATTTAATACTAAATTTGATATATTGATAAGAAATTTATGGGAACAGGGACTTTTTCTGGTAATGGGAATAAGACCTTTTAATTATTTGATTCCAACACCATTAAATTAATAATTTTTCAAAGGAATTTTTTTTTCTTATAGTTGAAAAATTAGAAGCTTAATGTATTAGTATATTTCAGCATCAAATTTGTCATTTTCTTAAGTGCTTTGTTATATCTGCTATATAGATGTTCTCATCATATTATATCTTATAATCTTATTGCTAAAATTCTTACTAATAATTAATATGAGTTTGTATTAAAAATCCAAATAAATTTTCTAACATTTCATGAGATGGATGAAGTAATATGAACTTCTTAGTATAAATTTATTAAAAATTATACATTTTACTCTTTTAACAACATATGGAGTAAGAATGCGTGAAGCCGATGGTTCATCTAGCAACATCTCAAGAAAAAAAATTTTAAGTCATAAATTGATTGGACCAATTACCAGTTTGCTACTTTAAATGGGTATTTTAGTTTTTTAATAACATTCAAAAATTCCCAATAAGACCTGTTAGCCTAATTAGGAATTTGTTAAAAGTGTAGGCCTTAATTTGAACTTTAATATTTCAACCAGATTTAATTAGAATTCTCCCTAAATTAGATGTATGGATGTTCGATGGAGAGAAAATGATACTGGAATAAAAAAAAAACACAAACATCTAAAAGCAATACTATTAATAATTTAACTGCCATTTTGTTTTACATTTTTCACGACGACGACGACGACACTAGGCACAGGACTTGGGATGGGGTTAGCGCAGGTTAATCAAGATCTCTTCATTAATGACTTATTGGAAGAATTGATCTAGGATGAAGCACAATAATATTGCGTGATTCTTCTTGTAGTCGACTCTACTTAACATGTTAAAATTATTGTTGCTGTAGTAGTATTAGCTACTATCATAGATGCTCATGTCATTAAATTAAATCATAATTTTTCTTGCATAATTTGAGTTGTAATAAATTGAAAATATTTAGTTCATAAAATATACTACCTCCAATCCTTAGTATAAGAATTCGTTTGACTTTTATTTTGGTCATAAATATAAAACCATAGCCCACTTTGTCTTTTTATATTTATTCTTTTTTTTTGAAGTAGTCCTTGTAATAATAATAATTTTAACCAATACACTTAATTAGTAGGAACATTTTAGGAAAGACTATCTATTTGTTATAGATAACTAGTTTACCTAGTTTCAATCTACTCAAATTAGTCAATTAATTTTTATATTGAGTATCGAAGCTAGTAAAAGGGAAATGAAGCGTTGACAAAATTCTGCAGAGATCATTCGTAAGAATCAAGAATAATGGGGGTATGCGGCAGAGTTAGTTTCCGAAGCTATGCTGGACCGTTTAAAGCAATGAATGGTGAATAATTGGATATGATTGCAAATAATCTAAATAAATTGAATTTGTAACTCGACAGTAATAAGACTAAACTTCATATAATTAAGATTCCAAATCAATTCATTTTCTTCCGGTCAAAAAAAAAAAAAATCAATTCATTTTCTCCATGTTTGACTCTTTCCCATTTCTTTCTTCGGAACCATTAAATTTCAAAGGAGACACGACCAAGCTTCGTGGAAGTCTGTTCGCCGCTTCGTAGAACTGACGTTCACTGCATGATTATTTACTGGTCTGGACTGGTCTAATGTTCTTACAACTGGGAGGGGAAAAAAAAAACAGTAAGCAAACAAGCTCAAGCTATGCACGATGCACATTGGTGTTTTCAATTAGGAAAAAAAAAATACTCCTCTGGTCTTAGATAAAAAGAAAAGTTTTTTTTTTAATTTATAAGTCACTTTATTAAATTTTCAGCATGAATGTATGATTTTATCTTTCATTTATTATAATATAGGTAGTTGTCTTTTTTAAAAGGTGTATATATTAAATATGGGTAAAGTTAAAAATTATTATATTTTAATAAAGAATTAATGTATTTTAAAAATTTTTTAGTATGTGTAAAATATATTAAAGGTATCTTATAAATAGGTTCAGAGGAACACTTTAGTCCACAAGAAGCGGAACAAGAACCCACTTGATTTATGTATTTATAGTTACTTTACCTTTAAATTAAATGAGATGGAATTTATTAATACTCATTTACATTTTTTTAAACAATTTTACAACATTTCTATTTTTAATTACTTACGTTAAGGGCGGGCTCATTTTTTTAGTCACTTGATTTTTTTGTGATGCGTATTCTTTAAAAGTGTAATATATATATATATATATGTGTGTATATATATATTGTGAGGCAGTTTCGTGGAGGTTCTGCATCCGCTTTAATGATAGGAAGATAGGACGCGGGAGTTAATGCGTGATAGCTTTATAATCCAAGCAGCTTCTGAGAAGTTTCCTCGATCAGTCAACAAGACTATTCTGGCCCGTAACTTACCCAATAAGGTTGCATTACAAACTAGCGGATGACAACCTCGTATTCTGCAAAACTACCAAGAACTTCCTCCCTTCACTGTTTCTGGCTCAAAGATCGACGACATCTTTCTTCTTTGCTTTATTCTAGGTTTCTGGGAGTCTGCTAAAATTAGCGACGCACAACGTTGCTGCCATGGCTCAACCAATAGCGCCCTCTTGTACCGATTACAAGTGGGAGTACGATGTGTTCCTTAGCTTCCATGGTGAAGACACCCGCTTAGGTTTCGTTGCCTTTATTCGCGAATCTCTTCATCAAAGAGGAATTCGTGTCTTTATTGATGATAGGTTCATCAGAACGGGGGGTGAGATCACACCAGTACTCCTCAAAGCCATACAAGAATCCAGCATAGCTATTATAGTTTTCTCCAAAAGCTATGCAAACTCCGCATTCTGCCTGCAGGAACTTGCAGAGATTCTAGAGTGCTTTAAAGAAGAAGGTCAGTTGACATATCCGGTATTTTGTCACGTACATCCATCAGAGTTGCGACGTCCGAGAAGAAGCTATGCAAAAGCCTTGGCTAGACTAAAGGAGAGTTTTAATGACAATAAAGAAAAAGTAGAAAAGCGGAGGTTGGCTTTGTCCCAAGCATTAGGGCCTGTTTGGGTATCTTAAAGTGGTTTCAGAATTACTTTTTCGCAAAACGAGATAATCTCCTCCACATATTTACTTCGTAATCTGTAAAAGCATTTTTAAAACCATGGTTTGGTTTCTATCCAAACACACCCTAACTTAAGAGGCGGTCATCTCAAATCCAAGTATGTTTTTCTACAATGATTTGCTTCTTATTTTCCTTCTATAACTATTTGAATATTATTCTTCTAAGTTCTAACTTCTGAGATACTACTATTCTGGTATTATTTATAGGATAAAGAGATAAAGTTTTTTTTATCCTATTTATAAGTCACTTTATTAAATTTTTATCATGAATGTACTATATTATCTTTTATTTATTATATTGCAGATATTTTTTTTTAGAAAGATGTATATATTAAATAAGGATAAAATTAAAAAATTATTATATTTTGATAAAAAATTAATTTGATGTTCAACTGTGTCCCGTCCCAGTTATTTTGGGATGAGATTGTCCCATCCTGAAAGTTTTTGGGACAGGATAAGAGCAGGATGAGACAATTGTTTTGGGACGGGACGAGATGCGAGATGGGGACGTCCCGTTCTGGTCCCGTCCCAATATATTATTTTTATTTTTAGTTGTTATATATTTATTTTATTTACCGTTGTAATAGTATTTTGATAATGATATTTATCAATTGTTATTTTTTATTTGTTTATAAGTTGTTTTTGTATGGGTTACATGATATTCTTCATAGTGAATATTTTAGGTTTGTTTATTTTTTGTCTATCATGATTACAAAAATATTTTTCTTTGTCATTATTTCATTATTTTTATATATTTTCCTCACATAGTTTTTATTATAAGTTTTTTACATTTCCTGTATTGTTAGTTGTCAAATTTAAAAAAAAAAAGAGAGATAAGAGGTCCTTGTCCCGATCTAATTGAGACGAGACACCATTGGGACGGGACGGAGAAGCCATCCCATCCCTATTATTAAGGTAGGACTGGGACGGGATCGTCCCAGTTCTGTCTCATCCATGAACACCCCTAGAATTAATACAGTTTAAAGTTTTTTTTGGTTTGTATAAAATATGTTAGAAGTGATGAGTATTTTTAACAAAGTGACATGATTAAGTACAAATCTAAGATGAAATGTAAGGCTTTTGATTCCATTTTTGTTGTATTCTTTTTTTTTTTTGAAAAGCCCGGGAAAATCATGTTAATATTTGCAAATGCGTTGCATGTCCTATAATTTTTTTTTAAATACGATTATCTTGAAATATTTTTTTTACCCACTATCCTGAAATAATTTTTTGGTATGCTCAAGCAGTCCAAGATATATATTTTCTCATGAAATATTTTTTGGTGTATTCAACATCGTTTTAAAATATTTTTTCACTATAGCACCTGTATTTCCAAATTAACTTTTTATTCTAGTAACATTCAATATCTTAAAAGATTTTTTTAGTAGCAACAAGTACCTTAAACTTAGAATACTAAGTGCTACTCCAAAACAAATTTATGTTCACATATGCACTAAAAATTATTTTAGGATATTGAATGTTATTAAAAAGCTGTTTTATAATACAGAGTGTACCAAAATTTATTTTAAGGTATTGGGTGGGTGCTCCTTAAAAAATATTTTAGATTATTGAGAGTATAAAAATTATTTTAGAATAATGAATGCTCTTTAAAAAAATATTTCAAAAATATTTAATGTTAAAAAAAGCATTCAAACCCTTTATTTTCAAGGTCAAAGAAAAAATCCTTTTATTTTTAACCCAAAACGACATGGTTTTGGGTAGAGGAGGACGGCAGTCGAGGGAAGGGATAGAGGAGAGAAACAGTTCCCTTATCCTTTCCCACCCAATGCAGAGCAGCTCTATTAATTAATGTAATTATTTTAGTAAACATACATATTTGTAACAGCAATTATATATATTATTTATTGAAAAAACAAATTCCAATTTTAGCAGGTAATAATTAATAACACCACAAAAGGAAAACTTAAATAGATAAATTAAAACAGAATGACAGAAATCCCTTTTGTTCATTTTCATTTTGAAATTGATAAAATTGAACATTTGTTATTCTGAAGTTTAGGAATTGAGTATTGCTTCAATATATGATCTCCCCCCCCCCTCATTTCTCAGGTATTTAGATTAAAACTTTGACTTTTTAATTTTTACTCAAAAAGTTGTGAATGACTAATAGTTAAACTTATATATATTTGCATCATATTAATACTAAAGAATTAGTGACCTAGTGGCCATCCTTAAATTTGACACAAACCGCAAGGGATTGGGAACTTTTTTTCCTTTTTAAAGAATAAGGGGTATTTATGTTATTTCTATTTAATTTTAAAATGCCATTTTAGTTTCCTTTCCTTTATGGCATTATGAATTGCTAGCTTCCTAAATTTGGATTTAGTATTTTTGGGGTTCTTTTTGTGCCATTTCCCCTTATTTATATTAAAAATTCATTCATTTATTCTTTTTATGAGGTGAATTGAGCGTTTTCCCCGACAATACTTACATATTTGCTTGGATGAGGAATGGAAACTTTTATAAGATGAATAGAAGACAGCAAAGGTTAGCTTTGGCATGTCATATAATTTTAAGTTTCATTAATAGTGAACTTTTCTCCAATTGTTCAGGATTGCAAATGAACAAGAATATATCACAAAGATCACTGATGAAGTATCAGCGAGGATTAATCGTATTCATAATAATTTACATGTTACTCAATGCCCTGTTGGACTTGTGTCTCAGGTGAAAGTAGTCGTCTCGCATTTAGATCTTTGGTCTACTAAGAAAAATAAAATGGTGGGAATTGTGGGACCTGGTGGGATATGTAAATCAAATGATTGCAAGAGCCTTGTATAATTCGATTGCTAATAATTTTGAAGGCCTATGTTTTTTTCCAATGTGAGGGAAAAGTCTAAAATGCCAAATGGTTTAGTACATCTTCAAGAGACATTACTTTGTAAATTAGTCATGGAGAAAGATCTCCGGTTGGGTGATTTTTATAAAGGAATACCAATAATAAAACATAGGCTTTACCATAAGAAAATTCTTTTGATCATTGATGACGTTGATGAATTGAAACAGTTAGAAGCTCTAGATGGAAGTTGTGATTGGTCTGGTCCTGGAAGAAGAGTTGTCATAACGACTAGGAATAAACAGTTGCTAGCAAGTTTTCAGGTTAAGAGCATTTATAATGTTAGGGAATTAAATGGTGAGCAATCTCTTCAATTGCTTTGTTGGCATGCTTTTAGGGTGTTTGGATGAAACCAAATCATGGTTTGAAGAATAACTTTTGGAGAATAGATTCTGTGAAAAAATGATTATGAGAAGTGAGAGTGTTTGGATAGTTGTTATCAGAAACACTTTTTATATATACAAATTACTAAAAAAAAGCATAAGTTAATATGATAATTACATAAAAGATAGATTTTAAGATATATTTTAATTTGAAGGAATAAAATTATTAATAATATATTTTTTACCAATATAATTAATAATACATAAGATAATGTAATTAATAAATAATTAATATGTGTATATATTTATAAGATATAAGATTAAATATGTTTATAAAAAAATAATTGAGAGGTGTTAAAGTCATATTATTGTTGAGATCTACTCTGACAGGCACAATCATACTCTCCAATTTGAACCAAAAGCAGAATGATTCACTTATCCTGAAACTATGATTTGGCCCAAACTATGGTTTTAGATTATTGAGCCAAAATTGATGCTGTTTGGGTGACACTCCACCCAAACCATGGTTTAACTATGGTTTTGCCTCCCAAACCATGGTTTTGAGGGCCACCCAAACAGGCACTAAAAAGGAAAATGTGAAATCTGACTTCATGGAGGTTTCTAAGCGTGCAATATGTTATTGTTGTGGATTTCTATTAGTTTTAGAAGTGACTGGTTCTCACTTATGTGATAGAGGAGTGAATGAAGTGGCACTCTGCATTGGATCAATTTAAAAGAATTCTAGAAGGAAAAGTTTTGGAAGTCCTTAGATTAAGCTATGATGCTTTAGGAGAATTTGAGAAAATTTTTTTCCCACACTTGGCTTGTTTCTCCAAAGGTGAGGAACTAGGAGAGGTTAAGGGCATGTTGTTATGTTTATATGGAATCCCACTGGATGATGTTATTAACATTCTAGTTAGTAAATGCCTCATAAAGATTAAAGAAATCAAGTGTTACTACATGATGTGATTGAAGACATGGGTAAAGAAATTGTTCGACAAGAATCACCAAATGAACCCAGTGAATGGAGTAGGCTATGGTTCTACGAAGATATTCTTAATGTTTTAAGTCAAAACATAGTAAGATCACTGATATATGGATTCTTTTTTTTCTTCTTTAAAATTACGTTATGATTTTAACATGTCTTGGTTTTGAAATTTATTGTGTGCTATTCATTTTGAAAGGGAACCTATAAAGTGGAAGTCATATTTCTAGACCTACCTGTGGACTTTTATGAAGATGATGAATTACAAATACAATGGAGTGGAAAGGCATTCATGAAGATGACGAATCTCAAAATCCTTATGATAAAAAATGCAAGCTTTATTTCTAAATGCCCTACACACCTCCCAAATAGTTTAAGGTGGTTGAAATGGAAGGGGTATCCTTTCAAGTTTTTGCCACATAATATTTGTTCAACAAAACTTATTTGTCTTGACTTGTCAGATGGTTATTTTGATACACTCCAACCATTTACAGAGGTATATATATGTATATCTAACACTTGCTATATTTCTTCATGGTCTATGTGCCTAACTTTCTAAGAATTTACTTTTGTTTTTGCAGAGGTTCCACACTTTAAGCAGCATGAATTTTAGAAATTGCAAATTTCTACAACAAATTCCAGATTTATCTGGAGTTTCTAATTTAAGAGAATTGTGGCTTGATGATTGCACAAATTTAGTTCAGATCCATCGTTCAGTTGGGTGTCTAAATAAATTGAAGGAATTGAGTGCTATGCGATGCAATAGCTTGGAGATTTTGCTTCCAAACCT